CTTTCCCTTCCCCCCCCCCCCCTCTCTAGGTAATAATAAAGCTGCGCCTGCAATCGAATAAAAACAGAAAGACAAATTGTTTTCAATTGGTTCCATGATTATTCAATTGATGAATAATTTTATTTGAATAAATTGAATATGATAGAACGGTTCTAAATCTATAATTGTTAAAAATATATGTTATTGAGTAATTGACAGTATTCAATCTCTAGTCCAAAGAAATCATGTCTCTCGTCAAGATAATATTAATGGCACAAATTCGCTCGATTTTCTCAACGTCGTAAAAATAATTTGACGAGACCCAACTGCCTCCACCAACCGAGAAATAAAATTGAATACAAAATAAAAATTATTCTCAATAGGTTGCTCTAATTCACAACTTATTTCACTCTGATGCGGTCCAGGGCGCCCGAATCCGCTCCAGGCTGCTCCACACATCTTAACTCGACTCTCAACAAAACCAACTTAAACAATTACCAATCTGGGTCAATTATTCCTCAACTAAAAATGTCGGCTCAATAATTTTAACTGCTATGCAATTTTCTCTACTCAACTGAGTCCTGTCCTGATGTATGTCTCGGGGCGAACTGAAGTCACGCGGCTTTTTTGCCGAATTCCTCACTAACGAAATCATAATTAAGTGGCTCTGGATCTCGGACGATTGTTTACAATTGCATTCCATTTTAATTTAATCCTCTGTGGTGGCTGAGCGTTTCCCTCACTCTGTGCCCTCTCGGTGAGGCGTAGCCTACATAGCCGTGGGTGCCGCGAGGTAAGTGTCGGCTCAACAGGGCCTCGGATAGAATAAATTAATTTTCACTGTCCGGGGGAAGTGTTGCGCCCTAGAACTGGCCTATTACGTTACTGTGCGTGAGCAGAGGCGCCTGATAGCAAGTAGTAGGGACGGTAAGCGCGCGCGATTGGTCCACCCTATCCGGTGGAAAAAGTGTGACTGAGTCCGATTTTCGTCTTAGAAGATTAATTTAAGGCAGTGTCTATTTACACACTCCAGGGTAACTTTGACCGTGGATATACGTGACGTTTTCCCGTGGATTCAAGGTGATTTCTACCGTGAATATATGGGAGATCGTGGACCCTCAACTTTTACTTCTCAAATTAAATCTAGACAATAAACCAGACACATCGAATCAATTGATAAGTGATATGCACATAGTAGACTAGTAAATAATTTTCTCACAATACTAATTCGTTGAATACGAATATGAATCTAGATTAACGCAAATAAAAAATGAAATAAATAGTTGATTTAACGCAAATAAAAGGTGAAATAATTAATTGAAAAGCAGAGTTTATAGCAGAGATGTCACACAAGATGTGAGTGAGAATCTACCGTGGATCCACGGTAAAATTTACCGTGGATCCACGGTAAAATTTACCGTGGAGCATGCGAATAGACACCTTAATTTAAATCATGTTCAATATTTAATATTGTAGATTCCTTCCCACAGTGAGTAGATTTCCTGGGGATGATTCCTTAGTCCTTCCAGGGTTTCCCTTGAGTTCAGAAACTTCCAATCCCTCGCAACTCAGTTTTCTAGCTCCCGCTAGCTCCCTTCCGCGGCTAGTAGTGCAGGTACGTTCGTGGTTGTCCCGACGCTTCTCCAACGTGGCCCGAAAATTTTTCTCAGGGTTGTTCGACCGCCTCTCTTCTTGTTCCAAATTAATTAATAATTGTTGTATTTTCTGACGGTTGACTCAATTGTTATCCGCAGGTTTGGATAGGGATAAGGAAGTTTGAGCTCTCCTTGAGGCTCAGGTTTACAGTAATTGACTTTTCAAATTAGAATAAGAATAATCAAAATGATTGACAAATTAAATGTCACAAACTTTCGAGTCAGAATTTCACCCTATTTCACCCCTTCAAATTCCGGTCAAAAGGTTTGGGACATCCTCTAAAAAGCGTTTTAACCCTCTGCGGATACACTGAGAGAAAAATCGACATAATATCACAAAAATCATTTCTTGAGCGAAAAACATCGCATACATATTTTTGTTCAATTTATAGTAAGTTTCAGACAAGAAATCGGTGTTCTTTGGGCTAAGGAGGAAGTTACTGAATAATAAAATGATGTCTTTTTTCGAAATGAGACAATATTTCTTAAAAGATAAGACAAGCTTGACAGAAGGAAAAGAAGATATTGTTTTCCTTCGAACTCAAAGCGATTGAGCGTAAAGGACGGTTATATTTTTTCAATATCTGGAGATTTTCCTTTGAATAAACTCTTTATTCATTCAATATGAAAGTCTCTGATTCATGATTCACTAAATCGAAGCTTTTAGTATTTTTAGTCATTTTCTCATCTTCTGACACGAAAAAACCGATTTCCTGTGGCAAGAAATTCTCACTTCATCATGTAATGATCATGTTCAAGTCGTGAACACTTCACTGAAATCTGACATTGTCTAACACATTATCCGGAATTCTTATCCCACCAAGTTTATCCCGAAAAGATGAGATGTTTGGCGCCAGAAATTAGTTTTTAGTTTTTCGTGGCTGCGCGCCACGCAATTGGCGTTGTTCAGGTCCCTCGACACGAAAATTAATATACACACCTTGCCATGGAAAACATATCACCCTCCCCCACGTGCTTACCATCCTCGCCTTCGGCTCGGAAAGTAATCTTGCACGTGGGGGACGGTGATCTTTTTTCCAAGGCTCGGGCATGTAATGTACTATTGTGATATTGTGATATTATGATTATTTTCTCCGTATACACCTAGGCACTGCTACGGATATACTGAGGTGGTTCATCACAATCAAAGTTGATAAACAAGTTACTTCTGATTTTTTTTATCACGTAACATACATATAATGGAGATCTTCTTTCTACTGTATTCCTGATTGGTGAAATCACTTATCCGTATTTTTTCTCATTATTTTCTCCGTTTTTTTTTCAGTCTGATGGATACAACAATATTCAAACCACCGTGATTTGTCCGTATTTCATACGCAGTACTGGAATGTTCGAAGACGTGCAATCAAGGTAATAATCACAGGATGTATAAACATTGTTTTTACATTTGATGGATCTTCATCAGTTATTCATATCTAGCGTAGAAGGCAAAATTCCTTGACCTTAGGGTCATTTTTTATAACTCACGCAATTCAAACCTCTAGATTCCTGTCCACTTTGAGTTCGAACGATGTCGCTGATCGCATAATATCGGCAATGAGGTGCAACGAGAAATTTGCAATTGTACCTGGCTATCTTCAAGGCCTATTAGCAGCGAAATGGTATGTAAACTCTTAGAAAAACAATGGAAAAACTATGAATATCCACATAGTTGAATAAATTTTATAACAAAAAAGATGAATAAGTAGCTGTCACAAAAAACTGATCGCGTGTGGAATCCTCAAACGGGAACTGCAACAGAGCCGTCACGACCTCTGTCATTACATGTTTCTCTCTATGAAGGATAATAGAACTCGGCTTTCCCTGCCTCAAGTGTGATCCCATGAGAGAAATAGAAATTATGAAGCCACAAGAAAAGCAAAGAAACGATTTTTCTTCCCACTTTCCGAATGATTTACACATGCCAATTTCCTTATTTTCCTGTTTCCTTCTCAGGCTCGTCCCTTGGAATTGTGCCGCCATGTTCCTACGTGGTTTAGTCCGCGATGCATCACCAGAGCCCCAGAAGACTCCAGCATCTAACAATCAACAGAACTGTGAACCCTCGAAGGACCAAAATGCCCTCCATCAGCAGCTTGCAAGGCGCATCTCGAGTTCCGAGAGAAAACCCTAATTTGTTTTTACGATTGTTACTACAATACCCGGTAATACTAATACCTCAGTTAAGTAACTCTATTGCGATGTAAGGTGAATCAATAATGGTTGTGATGTGGATTATAATGACATTTAAAAATGTGCCAACCTGTCGACAGCAAATATTCAACAGATGAAATGGCAACGAGCAATATTGTAATTTCTATTTTTTAATACCATGTGCAAGAAAATCCTGATTTTCAGTTCTCGGTTAACTGTACATATGTCGAAACTACCTGCATATACTTCCCGATAAATTGTACATATTTAAAATTATTTTGACGAAAGAACTATACCGCTCCAAAGGCGAGGATTTGATAAACTAATATTAATTGTAATTTAGAATAGGTTTAGTGCCATGACTTGCCGTCAAGGCTGTCGCTGTGCGACGCCAGATCATTGGGTGAATCAACATACAAGTTCTTTTTATAATAATTGAAATGGGATAATACGTGTGAAACTATTTTTATGACAAATATACAGACATCAGTAATATGAAAGCCATTTTAATTTTTAATAGTATTACACCCGGAGAAGTACGCTTCCGTAGGTTTGTAGGTTTGGTGAAAGCCATTCCATATACTATGATATAATGCATATCAGGAAGAAAGCAGAAATGTGGAGCAGAAGTCTTGGAGAAATGAATTCGGCACGAATAATCAGAATAATTACGGGCGTTCCCATGAAAAGGCCGATTTTCGCGATATTAAAATATGCTTCAGTAATCTTTCTCAAATTTCGCACATTTTGGGCCAGAGATGACTTCGTTAGTGTGAAAAATGATGTTGCTATTCAAAATCAAAAGAATAATTTAGGATTGATTTAAATCGTATATTATTTATCGGGAATCTGATGCGAGCTAAGAGGGCACAAACTTTGATCCTCACAATTGTCAATGATATTTCTTAAAACATTCTCATATCATACTATACGCCTTTCATTTTATCATTTGAATCTAATTCTTGGGATACTGTGGATACTTTTGGGATACCGCATTATTTTGAAGATGTGAAAACCACAATCTTGATTAACGAATAGACATATAAAATAGAAGAGATGTCCTTGTAGAGTTTTGGCGGGTGAACTTCGTTCAGTGATTGCTTTTTATCATTTATATTTTTGTCTTTAATTTCTTACGATGCAAGTCCCAATTTTCGACCTGAGAATCCTAACTAATAGCGTGACTAAATATTGATTGAGTCAAGAGCCTGATGAAGCTAAAATATATTTAGCGAAACGTCGCATCCTTGACAATTAGATCAGTGTTTTATTTCTCCAAAATCCCTGATTCCTGGATTAGTTTACATCGCTTGGAGATGAATACGTTTATTGAAAACAGAAGAGACTTTTTTCGATCTTAAGGAAACGTCTAAAGAAGCGCAAACTAATAATTATACTGGCCATAATAGTAATAATGATGATGATAATAACAACAAATACTGTTGCGTCAGTCGTGGCATCATCCTAGACTTGCCGGAAGGCAGATGTACAATCAGAAATAGGCCAACCAACATTTGTGCAGCCGAGATTACGTTGTCGGCTTTTAACGGCGAGCCCGATACGTTTGACGTTAAACACGTGTACGTGAATATCAGCCCACGCTGTATAACCCATGTGTAGGCGAATGGTTCTATGCACGCGTCGATGCCCATACATACAGTATGCCTCAAACACCATAACACTGATACCTTTCAAAAGGTAGAAGACGTTTGAATCATTCTATAGTCGAAAAATAAGGAAATAGTGGGACGTCTGTTTTCCGTAGCATAAGTGATGCTTATATGCTTTATTTCTTGGTAATATTGGTGCGAGTGTTCGAGCATTTGTTACTGTCACATAGGCAGGGAAACGCGCAAGTGGTCTCGTTATCGCCTTTGTGCGTTTTTTCTAGAGGAAATTACGAATACGTTGTTAGAATCATTTTCATATGTCAGTGAATAAGACAAGAATTGTGTAATTTTTAGTCGCTCGTCTCTTTTTAATACACGGACATTTTCTTTTGCAACATTCGTTGTTGGCGACACAAGAGATGGATTTTGCAATTGTGTGGTGCAGTTTCTATGACAGTCATGTATTTGAATCTCCTAATGAATTCCTTTCAATCATTACGAGTCAGTAGTTTGTACTAAGTGTAGTTAGTTAGCGAAAAGTATTCGCGTAAAATAATCTAGTACATGCGATTCTTATCAAAAAGTCAACTGATAAGAGGCCTTTTTCAATTTCAATGGCACACGCCTACCTCCACGATATCAGAGACCGGTTGGATTTTGAATGACAGGGATTCCGTTATTTTATTGCCAAGAGATGTGATAAGTGAGGTGAAGATGTGGAAGAAAGAGTTAATGTTTTTTGTGTTTTTTTGTGCTGGAGTTTTTGAGGCTCACTCTCTTGTTTATCCAGAAGATCCACTTTTACTTTGTGCCATTCAGACGTCATGCAAGAGTTGTTTGGAGAGCAGTTCGTCGTGCGCCTGGTGCAGTGAATGGGTAAAGAATTGGAGAAAAAATATATATGAAATGATTCTGATAATAAATGGGGGAAAAAGGTGAGCGAATATGGGCAGTAAAATGATAAAAGAAGATCGGTCCAAATATTTTTGCAGACTGTTTTGAATACCTTTGGAAGAAATGATTCAGGAGGGTGTCACCAAACTTTTCCAAATCATATTTTCTTGTAAATTAACTAGGTTCGGAGATATCCGCCAAGTAATCTGTATAAAATCGTTTGATTCTTACCGCCTCGCTGTAGAAATCATCCTGTTGGTGCTGAATCATAGCAATAATGAGCGATGAGTGATGTTAAAGAGGTCCTAAAGGTGATTCGTTTGACGGAAATCATCTTACCCACAAACAAGGTCCCTTGCCATTCCTCCCTCGAGCAACTCATTTACCAGGGAATCACCTAATTAACGAGAAACTCACATTCCGTATTCGATTTCACTCGTTTTTTTAGAAATTTTCAAATTCAACCATCGGTCGATTACGCTGCAGCAGTGCCGAACGTTTGGAGGCATTTGGATGTCCTAAAAATTCTATAAAACTCGCATCCGTTGGATTTGTGAACGTCGTAACTGACAACGGGTTTCAAGACGTCGAAGTGCCGGATCAAGTACCGGTTCAATTGCGACCGCAGAGGATAAGGGTCAAACTCCGACCCCATAGCACTGAGACGGTTCATCTCAAGTATCGTCCCGCAAAGTATGAAAAATATTTGACCTAGGATCATTTTCCCTATTCATAATTCATCGTCATTATTCTTAGTTCGTGAGCAATAACGAGTTTTGGTAATTGACAGGAATTATCCTCTGGATCTGTACCTTTTGATGGACCTCACATGGTCGATGAAAGACGACAAGGAGACAATAGTGGGTCTAGGGCAGCAAATGGCAAATACTCTGGGCACATTTACGAAAAATTTTCGTTTGGGTTTTGGAAGTTATGCTGACAAACCACTCATGCCTTATGTCTTTCCGGGTCACGAGGACAATCCCTGTAGGAGTGAGGGTAGTGTCTGTGCACCGTTATACTCATTCAAACATCACCTCAAACTCAGTGATGATGTACAACGATTCATTCAACAGGTGTATAGCTTTATTCTGTTATGATATGTAAGATCGAGATAAACCCAAACTTTCTCGATGCGTTGACTTGTAAATATCTCCAGAGTGATGAGTATTAAACAAATTTATGAGTATTATATTTCTGTGGAAAATTTCAAGAGCGACAAAAATTCCTCTGACGTTCTTTCGGGCGACTCATTGGCCTCGGAGATTTTGACAAAATAATAATCTTCATGTGTATGCATAGAAAAACTTTAACTTAAATTGAAAATCCCGGCATTTATGAAATCGTCTTTTAGATTTAACATTTGGAATGCCAATTACGGAAAAGATTGCTGTAAACTACGACATATTTTCCATTAAATCAGGACAATTTTCCTTTTAAAAAGCATCTATCGAGAATAAACTCGTAATTGCTTGGTCAAACCCAATGAAAAGTGTCAACATGAGTCGAATTACAAATTATATGAAACATTTGAGTAGCGAAGCGGTAAAACGGTTTAAGTTGACTTAGCTCTCATCTGAGTTTTTGAGGAATATCTACGAATTCAAGGGAGACAATGAAATTTTTGTAATGACCTTTTTTGTAGAGCGAATTGAGTGCTATAGAAAAAGTTGTGTCAAAAATTTTGCCATCTCCCTTACATTCTGAGATATTTATTGAAAACTGGTAAATAGTCAAAATCGACTTAAACCGTTTTACCGCTTCGCTACTGATTTGGAAGATATATTTTTTTAGGTGAAATTGCATGTAACTCCCATAAGAAGTGGAAGAATTTTTGCTTAAACATTATCCTACATATTAATCTTCAAGTGATAAAACAGGATTAGTGCATTTTGCTTAAGGCCAAGGATTTAAAAATTTTCAGTATTTTTTTTCTCTTCAAACCATTGGTTATGGAAAGCAAGTACGCGGGAGATGTACAATTATTAGAGTGGAAGACCGGGAATCGTCATTTCAATGCCGCCATTTTAATGAGAAAATTATTCTGTGTACAAAATGCATCGTTAAATCATCTTTAGAAATTTTTCAAGATCATGATTTCGAGCACACCATGATTTCTAAATAAAGTCGATTTCGGGTGATTTCCGTGATTTCGAGTGTCACGGGAGGTGATTTCATGATTTCGAATGATTTCATTAATTTCAGACGATTTCACGATTTCGGAGATGATTTCGAAAATGATTTCGTAAAGCTGAAATCACTTGATTTCAGTGATTTCGGTAATCTCACGTGATTTCGGAATGATTTCATACCAGAGTGGCGCCGTGATTTCGGGATGCGTATTCTCGTATTTTTAACCATAATTTCTTTTATAAAAGCGATTCCATTATGACGCAATATAAATGGTCGGTACGACACGTGGGATACAACTGTGCAATTGCAAGTTCCATGCAATGCGGGGGTCATGTCTTGCGGGGTTCGAACGTCACAAGGGTCATAATCTCGCGTGAGTCAAACATTGCTAGAGTATTCAAATAATGTCACGAATCAAATGACAGCGGCGGGCGAAACAATCTGAAGTACCTTTCAGATTATTTCGCTCCATTTATGATCCTTTGAGTCCTGTGATTGTACACTGTTAAAAATAGATTGTGAATATCTACAATATTTTTATTGGAAGCATTATACTAATTCTTTGGAATAATAACTTTACAATATATGATCATAAGGAAAATACAATGCGTATTATAATTTTCTAAATTTTATTCATGACAGAAATATGAGTTATTTCAACTCTTCCCACTACTTTTCCTTAGAAATTTAAAACTATACTGTACTTTTATAATGTACTGTCTAGAGGTAGATACAATCTGTATTATAATTTTCGAAATTTTCTTCAATGGGGCAAAATAGCTCAATAGAATAAGTAATACACAAAAATTGAATTCTATTCATTTTTTCTTATGAATATGTTCGATTGAACATTTTAATAGAATCGGCCAAAAACTAATAGAACAGTTCAATAGAAATTCATTGGATTTTTCTAACGAATTCGATAGGTTTTTCTATTAAATTTTTTCGTCCGTGAAAAGGAGGGTCAATCGATACCTCGTGAATTGAAGCCGTGCGAAACCCGTAAAACACTCTGTTACAAAAATATGCCCTTTTAATTAGTACCTATGTCCATGGGGGAAAAAAGACCAACAGACCTGATATTCACTGTTGACTTATATTCCGTTTGTGAAGAACTGATTTAGGTTCTGGTTTTTCTGTGTATACATTTGAAATTTAAATTTTAGAATTATCTCTGTCATAATTTGATGACAATCAGAATTTATTAGCTTCGGATACTTTATCGTGGTTTTCTTGCATTGCAATGATCAATTTAATAAAGGATGATGACAGGTAAACGCTAGTCATGTCACGGGGAATGTTGATAACTTGGAAGGCGGGATGGATGGAGTGGTGCAGGCTATTGTCTGCACGGAGCAGGTTGGATGGGCGAGACAAGCGAGGAAATTGATGCTTGCTGCCACTGATGGATTCATGCATTTCGCTGGAGAGGGAAAAGTTTGTATATAATTTTAGTAGCAGGGATGAATTCACCAGATTTAAAATGCCTAATTGCTACAATAAATGATTTTCCTCCTTCAATTTTGCCCATGCAATTTTGCCCATTTCTTTTGTACTAAAATCGAAAGACAAGCAGTTTGTAAAATATAATTATTTCAATTTTCCATAATCAATTACTATAATAATGTCATAGAACCTGGAGAGAGGAATACAGGAATTTCCCTTTATAAATCCAAATAAAAATTACTGCGTCGCATAGCACAATGGATTGAATATTATAGCACCAGAATGCCTACGACACTTAGTAAAAATAACTTTTTCGTCACTCGGCCCGATAAACGGCGCTTACTCGGGCTCTGTCGAGAGGGGGTAAAGAGAGTTTACCGCGGCACTTGAATAATCGGTGCTCCAAGGAGGGTAAATGAGACGCTCGGTGCTCCAAGGAGGGTAAATCTCACTTACCCATCCTAGGAGCGATAAAGTGGGCGTCACCATGTGCCCTGACGTTCCCCCCACTTGGGCATGCGCTCTGCGTTCGGGTAAACGTATAGTCGGATGAGCTGTACAGCGCCTCTAGCGGCCTTCTCTACAACTTAACCCACTAGTGGTAGCCATGTTGTTGTGTGTCATTGAGAAGATTTATCATTAGAAAAAAGTCACTCTCCGAGTTTTTGTTCAATTTAAAGTTGATATTTTTGTTCAAAAAACAACAATTTCTAAAATATCAGTATTTATAACGTCGACTTCTGTTCTTAATAAAAGAAGAAAAATTGAACAGCTGAGTATCTTCTTTTATCTTTGATATCTGTTCTTATTTTCTATTTTTTATGCAATTTTCTTTTCACAGGTCCAAAATTACCGTCATCAACCTACTGTTTTTGGATATTTTGGCGGACTTTACTAGTTATTTATTTTCGCATCAACTGATATTGATTTTATTTCGATTTATTTTTTTCTATTGCTTTTATTTTTTTCTTCAGTGGGGGGGGGCTTCGCCCCCCCCCAACCCCCCCCACCAGGGGGACTTCGTCCCCCTGGACCCCCTCCCGCGCCCACACCCGCGTCGGGCCTTCGTGACGAAAAATAGTATATGCCATTCGGGCGATAGCGTTGGTTTGTGAGTCGTGTGGAGTTTGCAACACTCGGCATGGCAAGCGTCCGACTCGGATCGCCTTCGGCGATCCTCGTCTCCTGCTTGCCACGCCTCTTGCTGCAACTCCACACTCCTCACAAACCGCCGCTTATCGCCCTCATGACATAATGTACTATTTTTCGTGTATGCCTGTGCAAGTGAGAAAAGTGCTTGACCACTGGTGAATTTTTCCCATACACTGAGAGAAAAATAAACACGTTCTCAAACGAGTCTTGTTTGGGCCAAAAAAATCGCTAATTGAAAATTGCTAAAAAAAATTTGTTTGGTTCGAACTTGAAAGTCTTAAACATGAATAATTCCTCTGCTTTCGACAGCAACGAAATATTTGGCTCAAGAGGCGGATAGTTCACACCAGACAGTGGCTTTTCAGGATGAAAATGTCTCACATACGCGGATAGAAAGATTTAGTTATTGTTAACGAACGGATTTGGTTGGAGTTAACAAATGCACATTGGCGGAGCTTTGTTTGACTCGATTTTTACTTATCAAGTGAACCATTCGTTAACTACTAACGAATATTCATTTGGTCAGATTCAACTGTACCATTCGTTAATAGCTAACGAATCTCGTTTGGAATAAATGAATCAGTCCATCAGTGTAAGTTACAAGATTGCGATCATATCGATATTATTGTTTCATTTAAGTATTAATTTCTTACCTGCGATTATCAGATAGCCGAATCGAAAAACTACTAGCCCTTGTTATGCATAATACAAACATTTTTCGGAAGCAAAATACGTATGGGAGTATCGAATAACGAAGGAGTAGTGCTAGAAATTAAATTTCTCGCGTGTACAGAGAAGGTAATTTTTTTGAACTACTAAATCTATTTTTGCGACGACAATTTTTCATCTCGGCACACTCTCTGCATGTTTGGCACAAAAAAATCCGTTTGTGATAATTTTCGAAAAACTATTTTCTTGGCACAAGTAAGACTTGTTTGAGAACTTTGTCGTTTTTCTCTCAGTGTATCTGTTTTATCTTCGTATATGTTCATTTAGAAAATAGTTGAATGCATTTCTTTTTAGTTAGGTGGGGTAGTGAAAAAGCACGACTTTTCTTGTCACTTGGATGACACTGGTGAATACTCAATGTCCAAAGTCTTCGATTATCCCTCACTCGCAGAAATTTCAAGACTCCTGAAACGCAAGAAAATCAATCTTATCTTCGCAGTGACTGAGGACCGACGATTAGAGTACGAGCAAATTGCGACTCTTTTGAAAGAAAAAGCAAGAGTTGCGACGCTCGCAGCTAACAGTTCGAATATCTTGGAGATTATTAAGCAATCTTATCATGATATATTAACGAAAGTTGTTCTCCGAGATAACTCGAGCGCGCTAGTTGATCTGCGGTATTACTCGAACTGTGGAAAGGCTGGGAAGCGGGAGAAAATTACTTCAGAGTGTGGAGGCATACAGGAGGGAAAGATCTATGATTTCAGGATTGAATTATCGCTCGGAGATTGTCCAAAAGATCCACAACTTTGGGTACGTACTTCACAAAAAAAATACCGAAACAGAGTCCAAAAACATCAGTGTAGAAAGAACAATTTGTCGATAATTTTGCAAATATTCATCAGAAGACCATTTTTGGAGAGGATTTCATTCATCAAAATGAAACTTTTATTGTTCGACCGGGTCCTCGAACTGATGATATTTGACAACAGTTTGAATGTTGAATATTTTCATGAAGTAGCCTTAAATTTGTTGACTTATATTATGTTCCCACGTGAAAAATATTATGGTCAACTGAATATACCATTTTTCTACGGAAAAAGTTCGCGAGACAGTGGACGTTTTCGCCATATAGTAGAGATATTCCATGAGATTTTCTTTGACTCCATCAATGCGCATTTTGTTTTGCGGTTTTTGTTGTGAGTAGAAAAATTGATTATTTGGAAAAGAAACGTCTCGAGTCGTTAGCTAGTTAATTAAAATCTATCTATTTCAGACAGTAGATAGCAACGTAATCGAACTTGAATTGATGCTCGATCCAAGTCGAGTTGACTATCGATTCGCAGAATCTAGTTCAATAAAATTTGACCGGAGGCATCTGTTTAATTGCAGAACATTCAGAACTCAGTAGTGTATCCCCTTAAATTAGGGCTGCCGACGAGACTCAAACGAGACTTCACTTTAGAGAGATCGTCTTGATCTTGGTGATCACGGAAATCAACGGTATCATCACTCATAGTCAATTCATCTCATCTTGGTTTCAAGTTTTTCGCATTTTTTATGCGTAAAAGACCAAGACGAGACGACCGAGACTGAAACCGAGACTTTAGATTGAAGAAGCACAAGAAACTTGAGACCGAGATGAGATAAATTGACTGTGAGTCATCACAAGAGCCGATGCTGCCTCTTTTGAGACTGTGATGAGACCAAAAATTTCCGTGTTCACCAAGACCGAGACGTTCCCTTCAACGTGAGAACTCGTTTGAGTCTCGTGGACAGCCCTACTCTAAATAGTTTTATTACTGGATTACTAAATCAATAGAAAACTAAATTTCCAGACTCAAAGGATAGGAATTGACGACGCCCTCGCATCAGAAGCTTCTGAGACCATAATCGAACTTGAATTGCAATGCGGATGTGACTGTGAAAACCCAAACAGTCCCCACTGCAATCACGGCATTGACGAGTGTGGGATTTGTAAGTGTGATCACGCATGGTCTGGTATGTTTAGCTATCATCTCAATACAGTAGGTTGTAGGTCACGAGTGAAATGATGGCATCAACAATTTTAGCATCATCATCACCGGTGCGTTTATTTATACAGGAGAAACATGTGACTGTGACGAAAGTGCCTGGACTGAGAACAGATTGCTGTGTATTGCACCTGGGGAGTCGTGGGCTTGCAGCAATAGGGGAGAATGTACTTGTGGGAGTTGCACCTGTGATCCTGGATACAATGGAAAATACTGCGAGTGCTCAACTTGTGAAAAAGTACACGGAGAGAAATATTCAAGAAAAATTACGGAACATTTCACGTAATCCGCAAGCGAGAATCGTTTTCAGTGAATTTCTATAGGAATATAAGAGAATAAATCTGAAACGTTCAGTAAATTTTCGGGTCTGTCACCGAAAAAATACGAAAAAGTCACGTAATTTTTCTGGAAGTTGTAAAATCTAAGAGAAACTTCAAGACTTATTATGCCTCAGGGCATGAAAATTCTTGGATGTTTAAGAATTTTTACGAAAAGTTCCGGAAAAATTACGGAACGTGTTGTTAAAATCTCCCCCTCACGGTGACTCATGGCTAGCCGTGAGGCGTCGGACGGATGAGTAATTTTTACGGAACAGATCGTAGAATTTACGTGACGATTGACGCTTTTAATTGAATTTTACTTCGCTCCCAGATTACGTTTCGAAACGTAATTTTTACGTCTTTTTTCTGGTAATTTTTATTGAATATTTCTCTTCGTGTAAGGATTTCACTATGAAAAGAATGAAAATACTAAATGGAAGATAAGCACGGGCATAACTATACAATCTTGGTAACGAGTGAATTTCAAGAGAAATTGTCAAAAGATACTTTTGATCACAGATATTTTCAAATTCCAAATGGATCCGATGGACCGGTTGCATCAAGCCCTGTTAGCCAAATGAATCGTTAGACTAAATTCATGTCTATAGTAAATTTTCTCCATAGTTACACTGTTAGAAATTTCTTGAAATTTCAGTCACAGCGTCATCTGAATTTTCAATGTTGTTAGATTGAATTCAATTTCCAATGAAAGCGTTCAAAAATTTCTCATTCATCTTGGAAATTAGGAACAATTGGGTTTTTCATGTTAAATGATCATTGATTTTTCAATGAAAGCTTGAATTTTCAAACTCATCGTAAAAATTGAACATCACATAGAATTCAATTTTCAATAAATTGAGAATTCAGGAAAGTTGTGGCCTGAATTTTCCAAATTTTCAAGGTTTTTCGGTGCTTATATGTATGTACTTGAAAATCGAGAATTGCTTTAATATTCAAGAAATAGACTCAGTGAGACTCAAGAAATATTCGTCAGTGAAGAAGTAGACAGAAATGTCATGTAACTTTGTCGTTGTCAAAAATTTCAAGCTTTTGCAACCGTGTAGAGAATTGTAGGAATTCGTCGTAGAGTGCTTTCATTCAGCCCTTCGGTCGTGAATATTGACTAAATACTTCACAATTACTGGTATTACTGGTAAATACTGATAATACATCGATACACCACATTTTTTATGAAATACCTTCAAAACTTTCGATCAAAATTGATCGGCAGATTATTCTTATTCATTCCGATACTTAACTGAGGATTTTCTCAAGTGGGCTCGGTGCACTCGAGATCAATGCATAAACACGAATTCAATCAATTTTCATGATTGAGTTGAGTTTTCTCGCCACTCAACTGCTGAAATATTTACATTAAAAAAAATCTAATTTTCCGATCGGTTCGTGCTATTCAACATCGTTATCATATGATTGACGATAATTAATGGGTGCTATTTACAGCAAATGTAAAAGATCTGATGATTTGTCATGATTCATTTAGATTAATGGAATAGAGTGCAGAGGGAGGGGTACTTGCAATTGCGGTAATTGTCATTGTCTTGAAGGATGGCAGGGTGACTCATGCCAGTGTCCAACTGGCAATGAACTTTGTATTGCACCCGGAAGTACTGACGTCTGCGGTAATCACGGATATTGTGATTGTGGACAGTGCCGGTAAATTTTGATTGTCAAATGAGAAAGTTTATTTCCTCCATGCTTCTCGAGTAAAGTTTTACTTATTATCGTAGATGTAACGTAACAACACCAGGGGATGGTTTACTCTATCGGGGATTGTACTGTGAGTCTTCTGCAAGTGCTGGGGGTACCGGGCTCTGCGTACTTTATGAAACATGTGTGAATGCTACAGTTGAAACACCGGAAGTCGCAGATAAAGTCTGTAATCGAGATGGAAATGGTTCTTATCAGACTGAGAAAATCGATACGGTTGATACTGGTAATATCTCAATTTGTTCTTTTTTCAGATGATGTGTAATTTTCAGCGAGGGTGTACGTGAAGAGAAAACTTTCTAGTCTCCAGTAAAAATCTCTCAATTTCAGAATTCTGTCGTACTGCAATCTAGAAAGGGAAACAACCTGAAAATAATTACATTTTCCGTAACAATTAATTTAAAAAACGGTCCAATTCTCAATCATTTTTACTCAATTTTCGTATAATTTCTCACGGTGCTAGAATGCGTAAGTTGTGGGTTCTTGAAATGAGAACATGAGTGTTTTCTGTAACCATAAACATGCAGGTTCTCAAATTAAGAACATTCTCGTTCTGAAAATGATGATTTGCCCTCTTCTGAAAATCAATTGTCTCATATTTTTAAATTTTTCATTATACTCAACGTATATCGCCTGATAACTCGACTTTAATTATTATTAAATTTCATCTCTTCGGAGCGTTTTTGCTTCCGAATCGAAGCTTTGCAATCACTCAAATTTGAGTTTCTAATTTTTTTTGTTAGGATAACGAAATATCATCTAAAAAAGTGTGTGTATATATGTATGTATGTATGTACATATATATGTGGTCTTTTCTCTTCTTTTTTTCCAACATTTTCTTAACGGATCAATGGAAATTCATATTTTTATGAATATGGACTTTAGTTAGCTCTATTTATTGATACCAATTAATTCCACTTTTTCGCACGCACGTGAAACACAGCCTATTTTGATACTAAATTTTAGATATTTTTCTTCTAGGCTTCAGTAACCAGTTTCGTATTCCCAGTTTCCAATTCTTATTCCCGGTACAATGTCTTCTAGGGCCATTCAGTTTTTGAAATCAGTAACTTGGTTGTGAGAAACTAGAAACTTTATTTTTCTGTGATCAAGAAACACATCTTATCGTAAATCCTTTTAGCTTCAAATATATCGTATAACATTCAGCTTCAAACAATTAGTTTTTGAGATATATGTAAATTAATTGATATCAACGAAAGTGTTACTAATATTTTCATTGCAGGTAGCGATCATTATTGCATCATAAGAACCGTCAGAGACAATGTTATTTGCACTATACCGTATGTTTATTACTTTACCCGGGAGAATAAAGTTCTACTGAAATTTGCCCCAAAAGTGAGTATCAAATTTAAGACAATTTCGTAAGGGGTTTTAACTAAATACTATTACATCGAAAAACAAATTTTCAATCAAACGATTTTTCTAAGGAATGTCGAACACCTCTATCGGCAGCATTTCTACCCGGTATAGTATTCGGTCTCATCGTTGGACTAGGCATTCTAGCGCTTCTCATATGGAGGTAACTGTATAGAAAATAATATCGAAATGATGAAAAGAAGTATTCCACAGAGAAAAAAATCCAATCCCGCCAAATTTGGTTCGTATGCAAACAGAATTCATACAGATCTTGGGAATTTCAGACATTTGGTTGTCTCAACCGAATTGGATTAGCAGAAGTAAAATTTTTTTCTCAGTGTGTTCTTGCTACAGCTTTTTTGACCATTATATTACAGAGCATACCACAAACTTATATTCAGAACTACTTTTTCTATTCTCTTAGATGCTGGACTGGAATTAAAGATCGGAGAGAGTACGCGAGGTTCGAAGAAGAGCAGAAGAGAACTGTCTATGCATTATCAGAAAACCCACTTTATCGACCTGCAAGGTCATTCTTCACAGTACCTGAAAATTTCAAAGAAGATTAATGGGTTTGCAATGATTTGTCTGAAACAGACGGAGAAACATCCATATTTCTGTGCTTTTTTTGTACTATATATCATTAAAGTTCTGCCAAACCTTATTTACTGCCATTATTTCATTTAAGGGGGGACCCGGTGAAATATGAAAGTCTTCGGTGAATATAGGGACTTATTGAGCGACTTTGGTTATTGATGGGATATGTTAAAAAGTGGGAAAAATCCCGGACCCAATCGGTTTTGCCCCGTACTTCCACGGAAAACGTCGTTTTTCATGTTTCTACCTTTAAAACATTCCTCGTCCCCCAATTTTGACTCCAAAGAACTAAGTTAAACAAAGTTAAACAAAGAAATTGTGATAAATAAAAAAATCGTTAGTAGTTTGCTCCACCGGGCAGCACAAAACAGTTAATATTTCATTAATTTCTAGCTGTAGGGAGAACTGTAAAAAAAATAATTATATGTAAAATAAGATGGCAGACATTATTTATTTGAATTATTTTCCTCTATCTTCACCGCGTTTGTCGCTAAACCCATCGGAGCGCACCGACACTTCACGCAAGAGTTAACGCACCGCCTGATAACTCCACCGCTCAGTCCACTATCGAAATTCACATTTTTTTAAATTTTTGTCTTTTAAAACGTTATTTTTTGTTTTCAATGTGCAAATAAATTTATTGTTCATAACAATTCCATAAGCATTGCTGTTAAATCCAAAGAGTCAATTTTTTTTTAAATTTGAATATTCGAATGTTCCAACTTTATTTTTCCCGTTCATCTTTGCTACATAGCTACTACACATATGTGTAGAATGAAATGAAAATAAAAAAAAGAATATATATTTATCTGTTTTAAAACTTTTTTAATATATAATAAATATATGTATTTATTTACATCAATATATATATTTATGATAAATAAATATATATTGATTTATTTGTTTATTTATTCATAAAAATTGAAATACTCCTAAGTCTAGCATATGCTTGGCGAAATAGATTCCTGACCAAAAATGTTTCACCTACTTTTTAATAGAGGATACTGAAAGGGAATCTTGAAAAAAATAATTGTTTAAAATGCTGGAATTTTTGACATCGTTTCAAATAAACGTGATTACATCACGTCGACCAATCGCTGACCGCCCTCTGTTGAATATCCGATAAACTCCAATGCTCCCGGAGGTGCAATTACTCGCCAGGTTCATTCATATTTCTCTCGAAAGAGAAAATTTACGAGAACCAGAAATTACGCGAAAATCATTGCAGACAATCAATGCAACCCAGAGAACTCACCTCTTCGTCATCAATCATATCAGAACGCATGATTACCCCACGTGACCTTCCGAACGACCTCTAAATAGCAACACCGTCCCTTCGGCGGTGTGTGGAGAATTCTCGGGTAAACGGAGTGTCCCCGTTCTTAAATATTCGGACTAAATATCATTAACGACGAAATAATCCTACCACTACCCAGGATTACAAATCGAGGAGACAGAAATTGCAGCTGAGAAAGTACATAAGTTGTTGAGTATCGTTGAATCAATCACAAATTAATTTACATTGAGAAATGCTACTGAGGGCGACCAGTCAGCTGCGCAATGATTTGGCTCGGGTGACACTACGTAACGCCGTGAGGACCAACGTCGTCCGGTGCTTGACAACTCGTCGATTCCACAGGAAGTTATTACCCAGGTATTTAAATTTATATTATCCAGAGTTATAACTTTTTGTGATAACATTCAGGAGTTTGTGCTGAAGTCATTGAGGTTAGGTCAGTCTTCGGGTATTTAAAAAAGCCTGAAAACAGCTGGGAGTTGGTGATAGTAATTTTTTATGACTGATGAAGGTGAAATCAATTTGTAGGAATCAGGGATGCAACACTCTGAGACCCATGGGCCCTTGGAGGCAACAGTTTCGATTTTATGCCGATTACCCAGATCACGTAAAAGTCACTCTACCTGCGTTGTCGCCTACCATGGAGACAGGCACGATCATCAGTTGGCAGAAGAAAGAAGGTAGTCATTCCCACGTACACTCACACTGAGAAAAAAATATAATTTTTCCAAATATTCATTTACTTCAGAGGAGCATTTATTTTTTCAAACTTGTATTTCTCCAATCGAATCATTCCCAGGCGAGCCTGATTAGGTTTCAATTATAACAATCATGTTGCTCTAGAGGATGACTATGTCGCACATGACCTTGGATTAACTCCTCCAATGATTATTAATTTTTCTTAAATTTCTTATTTTCTACAGGGAAGAATTTCGATTCATTCTTAAATGTTTATAATCATTGAGGGAGTCCACTCAACCTCATAAATGATGTGATCATCTTCCAGAGCAATATAATTGCCATAATTGAAACCTAATGAGAATTGCCTGGAAATTACTGGACTGGAGAAATACGGCATTGAAAAAATAAATATTTCTCACAAGTGAATGGATATTTGACAAAAATATTTTTTTTCTCAGTGCATGAATTGGGGGTATTTTCCAATTATTCCGAAAACTAATGAATTTCGAGGAATCTGTTAGAAAATTTCCCATGCAAGAGGACGTTGGCGGTTCCTTATAATCTGATTCAACTTCTGAATATTCAATAGAACCAGAGAAATTTCACAGCAAACGTAGATTTTAGGGGGTTTAAAGCCCTGACACATTCAAGGCATTTTCCAATAGTCATCATAAGTTTCGTTGAATTGAGTCAAATTAATGAGGCGATAAATAATATTCTTTCCAAACAGTCAACCTTTCGATAGATCTCTTTTGATCCTTATCAATCTGCAGATGAGGTTGAATAATATGAAATATAAAATATATTTTTATTTTCAAAAAAGACTCGATGGAAATATTGACAAACTATGGGGACATCGAAAGGTTTAAACCTATGTTGAATCAGTTTTTTTACAAGAAAAACCTCTTGATAAGTTCCTCGAACCGTTCCATTTCCAACATACAGAATAATATGCACTTGGATTCTAGCTCGCTAACATTTCAACTCTATCTCATTAACATTTCAATAGGTGACAAACTGAATGAGGGTGACCTTCTCGCTGAAATCGAAACGGACAAAGCGACGATGGGTTTCGAGACCCCAGAAGAAGGTTATTTAGCTAAAATTATTGTACCAGCTGGAACCAAGAACATCAACATTGGCTCTCTGGTCTGTATTATTGTGGAACAACAGTCCGATGTAGCGGCATTTAAGGATTTCAAGGATGATGGAACCACTGTAGCCCCTCCGTCTCCTGCTGCTCCAGCTGCACCAGCTCCAGCAGCCCCAGCACCCACACCACCCCCAGCAGCACCAAGAGCAGCTCCTGCCCCAGTTGCTGCGCCTTCAGTGCCTACCAGCGCAGGGGATAGAATTTTCGCAAGTCCTCTGGCAAAGAGATTAGCTGCTGAAAGAGGATTAAGTCTTCAGGTAAATTGACAAGCAATCTTCAACTCCAGGGAATTGCAATTATCTTGATCAATAATTCATTTCATCATGTGCATATTGCAGAAACTAGTAATTTGAGAGGGAAATTTTAAGAGACCCTTTTTAAAGGTCATCGAGTTCCCCACAAAAAAGATCACTCGATGAGTTTTTCTAAACCCAACCCTTTTTCAAGATATTCGCGAAATAATCTGTACTCTCATTTGGAATGAAAAATTGATATTTCAAGAACAGTTCAGTAGTAATTTTCTGGAGAAAAACATAGTATCTGATTTAGGCGGAATAAAAAATGAAATTTCAAATTTCACTGGTAGCTCAATGAAATTACAAATTTTGGAGTAGCAAGTAAACGAGAATTCTCAAAATTAATTGAATTCTCAATCATAATATGAATATTCCGTACCAAATTACGCTGAATAGAAAATTTCATTGAAAAATAAAAAATCTATCTACTTGATTTCTATTGATGTTCATGGTATATTGAACTGAAATTTACAGCTTGCATTCATTTTGCCATCAAATTGGTAATTATCAAAAACGAAATTACTTAAAATCTTAGTTGAATTGTCACGTTATGGAATTTTAAAAAAATGTTTAAAAGTGAAAAAACAAAGACATATCTTCTTTAACTCGTGACCCTTTATCCAGAACAAAGATTTCTTGATTAATTTATTGTTATTTAAAACTATTCGATGTTTTCAACTAACTTTGCAATTTTTTAAATTGTTTTCCCTACTAAAGGGACTGAAAGGCTCTGGACTTTTCGGATCAATAACCTCCAAAGACTTGGAGGGTGCCTCAGCGGCACCCGCTGGCTCCCCTGGGATTGCTTTTGCTGGAGGAGTTGATATTCCAGTATCGAACATCCGTGGTGTCATTGCCAAAAGATTATCCGAAAGCAAGCAAACAATTCCACATTATTACCTGTCAATTGATATTAGAATGGACTCTGCCCTTGCCATGAGAGAACAATTCAATAAACTATTGGAGAAGGAGAAAGTTAAGTTGAGTGTTAATGATCTCATCATCAAGGCGATTGCTATGGCGTGTAAGAAAGTACCTGAGGGCAACAGTGCTTGGATGGGCGACGTTATTCGACAGTGAGTTTTGTATCATTACTCCTGCTATAATTCTTCTTTTTTATTTATTTTCCTTTTTATTTGTATTTCATTCCTATTGCAAATCTTTACGGGTTTTTGGGTATTTTTGTAACTTCCTTCCAGCGAGTATACAGTCACCACAAAGCAAATTGAAAGCTCCAGTGTTTCAAAATTCATTTTTTACGTTTGTCTATGGTTTTTGGGCGCCTACTTCGTCTGCCTTGCCTTTTCTAAAGTTGTGTCTAAATAGAATGGTCTTCGGTTTTCACCCAGTCTCTCCACTCCTATACAACCCAATACAGTCCCATACAGTCCAATCTTCGTATAAGATACCACAGGGACTGTAGGGGAATAAAATTCCGAGAATTACGTATCCCCCACTTTACCTGCGCTCAGAGGAGAAAGTATTTTGATTTGATATTCTTCGTACAAGTTACAAGACGATTTCCATTTTATGGTCATTTGAGTACGATTCCTGATGGGAAAAACGAATGTTTGATTAGAATGTATCGTTCCTTTTCAAAATAGCAATTTAGAAATTCGGAATAAGTTAGTTGTTAATAGGGGCCTCCGAGGCAAAATTGCGACTTTCTTGGAATTTTGGTTTTCATAAAAATTGGGTGGAATTTTGTTTTGTTTTCTCTATCTGTCCATGTGAAAAATGGACGTAAAACACATGGTGCAATACGTGTAAAAAAATATATATTTTACCAAGTTTTATGACCGATGCGGTTAATTTTTTTTATCAACTGTAACGAGTGTCCATTCGTTTTGAAATTCAATTGATGTGCAATTAATTCTAAATCATTGATGGATATATTTCCAGTGATTTCTGCGATATCTCAACTCCATTCCCACTCAATTCTTGTCCCTTTGTCGAGTATCTTGTACGAAGAATGCGAAACGCAAAAAACCATTCATGCCAGAAAGTGAGCACGGATTCAGAAAATATTAAAAATGAGCTTTGATTTTTCCAGGTATGATAATGTAGACGTCAGTGTAGCTGTGAGTACAGATGCTGGCTTAATTACACCAATAGTTTTTGGAGCTGACTGGAAAGGTCTTGTGCAAATCAGCAAAGACGTCAAAGCACTGGCAGCCAAAGCTCGAGAGGGTAAACTTCAACCTCAAGAGTTCCAGGGTGGTACCATTACAATTTCCAATCTGGGCATGTTTGGAGTGAAGAATTTCTCTGCTATTGTCAACCCACCACAATCAATCATCCTCGCAGTAGGAACTACAGAGGCTAGACTAATTCCTGCCAATAACGAAAGAGGGTAATTCATTAAATTCTTCTTCTAAAAATTCTGTTTAACTGCAATCTATACAATCCAATTGTCAGTAATTGAGTCTTCTTTCAAATTTCTCTTCACTACACACTTAAGTAACGTCAATCATAGATCAGTATCAATCATTAATTTAGTAATATTATGAGAAGTTGCACCTTATAATAATTAAGATTTACCTATCTTCATTGAATTTTGAAAAATAATGTAACAATTGTTAATTTAAATTACTTAATTATTGGTTGATAAAATAATTTGAAATTTGAATATTTAAATTGATGGTTAATTTAATAATAAAAAAATTGGTGAGCAATATTAACAGTTGACTTATTCAAAATTTAACTGTAATTAAAAATTATGATTATGCCGATGCCTGACGTTAATTTTTGTTGTATTTTTAGGTTTACCACTGCTCAATATATGACTGTAACAGCCAGCTGCGACCACAGAACTGTAGACGGTGCAGTAGGGGCGCAATGGTTATCAGCATTGAAAAGCTTACTCGAAAATCCATCGACAATGCTGCTTTAAAAATAAGAAACTTCGAAACAAACGAAAATCGCTGCCGATTTAAGTGAAAATTAGTTCAATCAACTTGGAAAGTAGGAGATACTTTCCATGAGTACAAGGTGATACGTGTCTGTGTATCTGAGAAATTTATTTATTCTTAATTTTATTATGAATAACAGTTGAAATGTTTGATGGACGTATCATTGAGTACCTAACTAGTTACCGATTTTTTGGGAAAAAGAATTTATCACTCGACATTAGAATAACACGAACAACGTCCGTTTTTAAAAGGAATCATTTAATAATAAATGAAGATGTACGATACGACGATATTCCTGGTGAAATCACGTCTACTCACCGATTTAATTTATAATAGATTGTTTTATGACCGAAATTCGGTTGGGGGGATCATCGAGTGATTTGTTTTTCATTCTCTCTCGATTGTATTTCTGACCCTACTGTAAATAATTAGAAAACTATTATTTTTGTGGACAGAAAAACAATAATTGTTACGTTATTTCTGTAGCAAATTCAATTGTAATTACCAGAGATGAGTGAAATCGTCTGATGAAAATACAGTGTATAATAAATTATGAATACAAAACGTTAATTCAACCATGATTCTCCATTAGAGTAATGCAACTCTGATCAACTTCTCATTTTTTACAAGATGTTCATCTAGTGGAGAGAAATTTACGGAATTAATTGGAGGCGACGTATGTTCTCAAAATTTCGCAAAAAACATCTTCAAGACTTGAATCGTTTTAGCATTTCAATGCGTACCTCAACAAATGTCTTCTCCTTTACTGTCCTTTATGTGCCCTTTCCGCCCGCCATGGCGAAAAAATAGTTTTTGACTGAACACATTAAAGGAATAGTCATTAAAAATCGATACAAAATTCCTTTTTCATCACCATGTACGACAAAGTAACTTTTCCAAATCTCGAAAATGTCCGTTTTCCGTACTGACCTTCACTTTTCCCCGTCCGGGGATTGGTATTGACCCTTCCCCGAACTGGCAAAAGTTAAAGTTGCCAGAAAAATATCGTTCACGCCTAGGGTCACAGAGGGTTTCGACTCGTGTGATTCACGCACCGCGTGCCTAAAAGTCCAATTTCCGCCACATTGTGATGAAAGATATTGTTCGTAACCCGTGAAAAAATGTTTTTTGCACTCGTTACGAAATATACTATTTTATCAATCTGCATCACTTATTCTTTTTCACTTTTTCTGCTCAGGAAAAAAAAATGAAAAATACTTTAGTAACGCTATCTTTCTTCACTTAAGAGAAGTAAATATTCGAATACTTCACAACTGCCATGATTCCCATCTACAATTGGTGCAACCATTGCTCAGCAGTTCGGAGCAGCTAGCAAAGGGCATTGATCGAAGTGAACAAGTAAAATATCGTAAAAATGTTGATATCCCGAGGGGTTGGGATGATTAAAAATGTCACGGCATTCGCTTCCCAAACGAGAGCACCGATGAAGACCCAAGTACGTCACTCAGGTGGAGCGTAAGTCACATTATGTAACGAATTCATTCAATGACAGGTTAGGTCCTATGTTTATTATTGTGAAATTATTGTTATTAATTTTTCAGTGTCATGTATCGTGACGTGTTGGAGCCAGCGAGGTGCAAAGTGTATCTGGCTGAGTTTTTCGGAGGAATCATGTGGTGGTGGATCCTTTGGCATATGTGGCACGATTGGGGACACATTGTGGTGAGTAAAACGAAAACTTGAACTCTTCGTAATTTTCCGTGCTCTCAATAAATCAGTAGCGACCTGGAGAATATGATCAATAATTGGAATATAGCATCGGCAGGATTCAGATTTCCATGGCGCCGTAGGGTGACACTTGGTTCTTATAGTATTTTGAGTGAGAGATACGGGAATAATATTTTAAAAAATCTACCTTCATGCACTTTCGTACATAAGAAGAGCTAAGGGGGAGGGTCAATCGAAAGGATTGCAAGGAAGGGTTACAAAAAAGGAGTCGCTAGGTTTACAAAAGTCACAAGGATCACAAACAAAATGGGTCTTATGAAGAATTCTCAGTGAGTTCGAAACGTCGGCGCAGAGAAAATTGTTTTGTTATGATTCTTTCTTTTCGATAAATTCGTTTAAACTGCTGTGATGACTGTTATGGCTAGGAAAAGTTGAGGAGTAAGGAAGAATTTAACACGATTGAATTGTTATCCCCTTCCAATCCACTTTTTAAAAAACCAGTGTAACGATTTTTGAAGCCTCCATTCCGCTTATCAAGTAATGTAATATAATGTCTAGGTATATTTTTTTATGTACTGTAATCTTTTGTTTACAGTAATTGTAAAAAAAGAGAAATTCATTTCTATTTTTTTCAAGAAGAAGATGAAGAGGATTATGACGATTCTGAATAAATTATTCAACAATTAACTTCTCATTGTGAAAAACTCTGTTGAAACCATTTGTTTTTCCTGCTTTATTATTGAGCTAAAAATTAATGAAGGTTTTACTAATTTGGCACCCATGAAAAACAATACACGCGCGAAGCGCGCCCTCTTCTAGTTGTGAAAAAAGGAGTCTCTAGGGTCACAAGGGTAATACTGTCTTAATTGAATGCGTTTTTGATTGAAATTTTCTTTTCCCAGTCTTTTTTCCCATGACTTTTTTTCGGCTGGAGTCCGGTTTCCGTGCTGGAGCGATAAAATAATGATGCATGTGAAGGGAAATGGTAATTTCGAGCTTCATGAGTGTGATATCTCCAGAATAATTAGAAATGGAATTTTTGTCGTATTCTTCGCCCAATATACTACGAGAATTAATTGCCAATATGGGGCGTCGCGGAAATAGGAATCTCCCCTATTCTAACTCTCTGCCGGTATACTGGGGTTAGACATCACTTCATCACATTTTCTCAGAGGTTTTTACGGTTTCTAGTACCACTGGTCGAGCAGAATCCTTCGCTCTGCCTCCGATATAAATCTGGGCAATGAATTTCATGTCAATTGTTGGTGTTGATCCACTCACGTTACTCCATTGCATCGAAAAATGAACATCGTTCATCTAGAGTATGGAGTCTGTATCTGAAAAAACCATTCGATTTCTTAAAAAACTTCAACAGAAAACATGTAACACTTCGGTGTTCCTCTCCTCATGAAAGGTGAATGTACCCGTGGGAATGGGGTAATGAACTACCCCCGTGTATCCGTAGCATAAGTGCCCAGGTGTACCCATAGAAGATTTAGAATTATGAATCCATAAAATTATCTTAGTTAGATAGCTGAGAAAATTTTTAGAAGAAAAGATCATGTGAAATTTCGTCTCCAGATCAATAATCCTCGTTATAGATAATTCCATAATTGAGAGGATGAGGAAAATCGGCTCAGGACTTTTCAATTCATAGAAAACTGTTTTATACAAATTATTTATCGTTTTCCTATAATTCTAGGGTGAATTCCCGTACCCAGAGCCGGAAAAGTGGACCGACGAAGAGCTGGGAATCCCCCCCGATGATGCCGATGTCTAAATAATTGTGATTACAAAGGTGTTGTAGATAAGAAAGTGAAAATACGTCTCCTAGATCGATTGTAATTATTACGAAACATTATAAATTAATCTGTCTCTCCATAAACTCTACTTTACAAGAAAAAAAGTATTCAAGTTACATGAGCTGATTCACATCTTACTGCTCCAGTCGAATAATTCTTACAATAGACCTTTTCATTCTGGAAATCTAGGGGAAATATTTATTCCGTTCATCAAACTGAAAAATCTTCGGAAAAATAATGAAAAATTCTGATAAATATTAACATTTAAGATGATATAGATTTGAGCCCTGAAAAATGATGATTGATACGTAAATTCGGTACAGGTGTCCGAAATTCTTGAGGGAATTAAAGTGGAAAAAGTGTCCGAAATTTTAGTGACTTTCAGGATGAAAAGGTCTATTCCACTCTCGTGCCCAATTACAATGTTGGAAATCTCTTTACTGATGAAATCCGGAGACTTTATTGAACCAATTTTCTCAAAAAAGTCTCTTTTCAAAAAACCTAGAGGTGAACTACAAGGCAGGTTTTTTGACATTTTCCCCTAATGCCATTACTTCCCAAGAAATTCGCAGGAAAAGAACTGTAAGAAGTGATTAGATCGATGTGGCTTCCCCCCAACACTTCTTTACATAGAAGAAAAAAACGATTATAAGTTACATCAGCTTGATTATTCCTCATCATCATAATCAACTAATTGCAACAATCTCACATCCCCGGCAAACTGCAATTGGCAATTTCCACTGATCAATCTAAGCCTCAAACACTCGACAATTCTCTTATTCGAAATTCACCATTGTCATTGCAAACAATGTTGAAAATTTCCTACTATCTTTCCTTTTTCCCATATCACCGACCATTTCTCCAACAAGTAGGTCACAGCGTTGACGTGTTGACACACCCAATCACTTACCTCAGATGTCAATCATCCGATTCTCTCTAGATTACCAATAAAAAAAAGTAGAGAAAACATTCGATCTTCTGAGTGATGAATTCATCTGAGGAAAAAAGTCCCCCAGCGCCACTGAAGAAAATGAAAAATCCATTGCGAAAATGATTTTGCCAAGAAGGGGGGGTGAAAAAATAGTGTTGGTTGCAGGGTCAATTATCAGTGGCGAAAAAAATAAAAATTGGTTTATCATTGTGAATTGTTACTATTCCATGCGATGATAGATAACAAGCTGGCGCCCGTGCGAGGTCACAGTGGTGGGGGAACTGGTACAGTCTGGTTTTGACGTTACAATCGCCTCCCACTACCACTTCCTCTAACCCCCACGCGAGTGTCATATGTCTCTTCTATCTTCGTTACTGGGTTTAGAAGCTAACGAACCACATGAGAGAGAATATACACTTGACGACGAGAGAGGGACGGCGAGAGGGAGATGAACATTAGCAGTCGGCGGGTGGAGGGGTGGGAATATCCTCCGCGCCTATAGTTATCACAGTGTGCGGAGGCAGCGCCGTAGCGCACGCTGATACTAACGCGCCAGACTTGTACTACCGCAACTACTTGAGGCAGTACTGCAGCTACACCGATAGCTGAAACAAATCGTCCGGACAAACGCACCACCCTCCGGTCCAGTGTATCAACCTTAACCACGAGTGTTTCTCTCTCTCTTTCTGCTCCAAAAAAATCCAAACAAGAGAATTTAAAGGGAAAATAAACTGAGGAAGAGGCGAATTTTACCAATGTTCTTGTCTATTTCTTCGCACTAAAAGACTTTAATACGAAAGTTAGCAGTCATGTGTCTTTGGTTAGCTAGAGAGAGAGAGAAAAAAAAATCCGTGAACTGATAAGGAGAAAAAATAAAATGTAAAGGAGAAATAAAAATGCTCACAGCGTGGCACGTTACCATATGAACCGTAACGTTTGACTACAGTGCGTTGGCAGAAAGTGTGAGGACCGCTGTCTGTGTTTTATGTATGTGGTTCTTCTTTTGCTTTTTTTTCTCAATTCCTTTTTATGTGTACCTTTACTTGTCTTGAGAGCCACCGCGCTCCGCAGTTGCGGGATTTGTTTATGTATTTTTTATCGGGCGAAGTGGTAGGATGATGGATTAAGGCGAAAGCGCGATAGAGGGGAAATATTTTTTTAGCAACAGGAAAGGTGTCACTATGGGAGATACTCGCTCAGTCTTGGAACAGGTGTCATGTTTTAATATTGAAGAGAATTTTTTTCGCTCGGAATTCTTTATTTCATTCAGTATTTTTCTCGTGGGGTCTAAGATCGTCACTACATTGTCGCCGTGAATTTGTCAAGCGAGGTCACTCGACTCGTGCCATATGAACGAACAGTCGGTGGGGATAAGAGAAAAAGTGACGAGAGAAGGAGGAAGGAGACTCTTTAGTCTCTTTCTCATTCTCCTGTGATGTTTTTCCTCGTTTTATTTTTCCTCCTTTCCATTATTACGTCTGCGAATCTCGAACGTAATACTTTTGTCATTGTTTAATGGAGAAAAGAATTGATGCCAGTTGACGTGGTACTCGAGCATTCATTCACTTCCTTCCTTCTTTTTCATTTCCATTTTAACATAAATCCTGAATGACCCACCGACTCTGCCTTCACCAGTTACAACTTCTACTCTTTATCCTCCGCGCAGTTGAAAAAATGAGCCTTTAAAACGCTCAGTCGACGTGATAAATTGTTACGTGATACCTCGGCTAGACTCAACCGGTGTTTTCAATCATTTTCATCGAGTTTGACGGATCTTTTTTTTCTCCAATTTCAATTTCATTTTTAAATTTCAATGGCAGGGAATCGGGAACAACGCGAATGAAATGATTTTCCTGGAAGATTCGGAATCACGATTGAGGGGGCGGAAATTTTCAAGCTCTTTTTAATTGTTCTTCACCTTTTCAATCGTGAAGTGCATAGTTAGTAGAGATAAAGACGGAATACGGAAGAGAGATCGTACACGCGTACTCTGAGCGACGATCGGATGCGATCGAAGGGGCGCTGGAATTATTGCGGGAAGCAGCCGCAGGTGAAGTGCCTCGAGTTTCTGCCGCGACGAGTAAGTTTATTTTTTATTTATCGATTTATTTATGTATTTATGTTCTTTTTTGTTTATTGTGGACGAGTTTCAATGTGCAAGCCTACTGAATTCAATGGAATTGATTGAACATTTATTTTGATGTTTTTGTACACTCGACTGTACAAGAGTGGGTGAATTCCACCTGCTTGTGAACATCTAACGGTACAATAGTGCATCTCGAGAGGAAGAGAGGAAAGCGAGAGGAGGGAAATTATGGGAATGAGGAGCATTAAAAATCATGGGTGGGTGCGCTGGGATATCTTGCTGGCCTTTTTTCACTCGTCTCATTATTTGACTTCTCCTTTATTAACGGAGTTTCATCGATCAGTGCTTTTTTCATGTCATTCATGGATGGATTACTTTGACGTACGTCGGTTAATGACATTGTCAATAGGTCTAAAATTAAAGGGGAGTTAAAGGTGAAACGGTTAGTAACAGTTGAGGAAGAATAAAATAGGGTGGAATATTCGTTTCACATTGTTCTGCTGAGATATCGGTTGAGTGCACTGAGAAAAAAATGACTTTTACCAGGTATTTTTATCAACTACAAGATAATGTACACATGTTTTATGCTTGTAGCAAGTGAATATACTTGGCAAAAGCAATTTTTTGTCTCAGTGTGGAAAAATATTGAAGAACCTTTCTCGTCATTCGATAGACAAAACCTTGTGGAATTGTTCTCCGCACTTATTAGTTGAGGAGATATACTCCCAAGATGATCGGTAGCAAGTTGGTTCTTCTGGAAAAATACATAAAAAATCGGTCCATAGGACGAAGCGAAAAATTAACAGAGACAAGGAAAAATTGAGAATTGCAACACAAATTTGATTAACTCTGGATTCATAATGTTTGATACTGTAAGCGCTATTTCGTCGCCGATTCTTGGCAATTTTTCGTCTAATTTTATACTTCCGTTCCTCCATAGTTCCTTACAATTATCGTCGTTTTTCAATGGAAATCTCGGAAACTAATGGTTTTGAGGAAAATGTCGAGTGACCGTTTTTTTTGTAGCTCATGAAATTATTTCCACAAGCTGTCTGAAGTGACCTTCCGTGAATCTCTTCTTCACGGCAACATTCCCGAAATTATTCGCAAATCAATTTGTTTTTTTTTTATCGTGTTTCCTTTGTGATCTTACCATTATCCCAATGGTAATCCCTTTCGTGTGCAATGACATACACTAACGATATATAGTACGATATGTGAAGGTACATTGGGATGCTGTCACCGTTCGAAAGTGATAATAAAGAGCAATACAATGCGTGTTTTCACTTTCTCCACTGGTTACTCATGCCCTGTGCGTTTATTCCCCTCTCGGACATGAATTTACTCAGACTGCGTTATTTATTCACCCCATCATAAAATATCGATATTGAATGAGCTGGCGAGAAATGCTCCTTCGCCGGAAATTTTGTTTGTCTTACCCACCGCATTATCGCTTAACGCGACGTTTTCCAATTTATCAGAGGAGAGAGAGAGAGAGAGAGAGAGAGAGACGACGGCGAGGTATTATCACGAAGATGCATATCTAACACTTGGCAATTGGTTTCGGCGATTTAAGTTTCATAGGAAAACGATCGAAGAAACTGTAATGCACTGGATATTTTGATGTACTTCAAAATCTGTTTTGAGACGTTCTTTTTCCCGTGCTTCATTTACTTAAGGGGATACGTCGGTGAAATTTAAGTCCTCACTGGGCCTTGCCTTGGGACCCATAAAACCATTTGTGATATATAACGGAATATGGGAATAACTGGGGAACATCGCGGACCCGATCGATTTTGTCCCGTATAACCAGGAAAAACTTCATTTTTCCTGTTTTTAGCTTCAAAATACTCCTGCGCCGTAGTTTTCATACGATTTTAGCTTTTTTTTTCAAACTATTTGTTACACTCCAAAGAATAAAGTTAAGCATCCGTTTTACTTTATTCGCAATAGATCATGAATAAATGAATTTTGAATTTCATAAATTTTCTTTTGAACCCGCCGTTTCACTTCAACCTGCCATTTTTTTATTCATAAAAATTAGATTACGCATGATTACAATGTTCAATTACTAAAAACAATGAATTTTTAGTCCTACTCTAGAGACGCGAAAAATTTATGAAATTCGAAATTCATTTATTTATGATCTATTACGAATAAAGTAAAACGGATGCTTAACTTTATTCTTTGGAGTGTAACGAACAGTTTGAAAAGAAAAATAAAATCGTATAAAATTACGGCGTAAGGGGCATTTTGAAGGTAAAAAGAGGAAAAATTAAGTTTTTCGAGGTTGTACGGCGTAAAATCGATCGGGTCCGCGATTTTCTCTAATTACTCTCATATTTCATCATATATCGCAAACTCTTCAGTGGGTCCCAAGGCCCAGTGAAGACTTAAATTTCACGACGTATCCCCTTAAGGGGAAACGGAACCCCTGTGTCTACATGAACTTTTATAATTGTGTTTTCTTCTGCAATTGTTATTTTTTATTCATTAAACTATACCTCATTGACTCAACAATGCGATAATTGAGTCGATAAAGTACTTTCATAGATAGAAAATAATAATTGTAGGAGAAAACACACTTCTAAGATTTGATATAGGCAAAGGGGTTCCGTCTCCCCTTAATGTATTAGGAATGTTCTCCTAAGGGAAAATTTCGACTGAAATTGCCTGACTTCGTTACTTATAAATGATTATAAATTGTTGATGAAATTCCAATGGGAAATACGCGTACTGTGACAACTTTTCTTGGAAGCTTTACGACGCAAAAAAAAACTTGCGGAGGAAATTGCAGGAAATTCCAAGTGGCGTTAAGAGGTGTGAGAATGCCTCCCCAAGGGGGGGGGGGGGGAGAGCAGGAGGATCGACAAGGACACGGGGGTCGATGGAATAAAGCGAAAAAATGAGGTAGAGAAAAAATGAAAGCAAAGCAGAATTGGTCCTCTCTCGTTCGTGTAGTCAGAGTTCTCCTCCAGGCGAATATAGAGGTAGAACAAATGTTCGAAACTTTTCTGCTTCGTCCTTAATTTTTTTATCTGAGTAGCTGCTACCTATTTGTTCTTTCACTAGTACTGGGATTATCGGACATCTACATGAGAGCGAGAGAGAGAGATTTTTTCATCGCCTGTGTGAGTTCGGATTTCTAACTGTTACTGCAACGGCAAGGGGGAATTTTTTGGCGATGACGAACCAGGAACAACACGCAATAAGTACACGGAGAAAAAAATTCCAGAAGAATTACAAATTCCAGAAAAATTACTAAACGGTAAAATGGGTTTATTTGGACGGACCCGGAAAAATTACCGTGCCAGCACCGGAAAATTTGCTGTGGAAGACAAGAATTTTTCACGGTACATCCGAGAAAAATTCCGGTGCTGCTGAGAATATTTCCGGATCTGTCCAAATGAACCTATTTTACCGTGCTACTACAGAAATTTTTCTGGAATTTTTTTCTCCGTGTATGAATAGACATTTGACATGTGACTGGGGACAAACGATGAAGAAAGCACTTCAAACCACTCCAAAGCTGTTGTCTCTGACGCTACTATGTGAATACTACGAACTTCATGTCTTTTATCTGTTTTTTAATTGACGTTGTGATTGACTACTGTCAACATTGATAAGTCTACTATTTTTCGTTTATTATTCCTACGGTTGGGAATGGATATGAATGAAAATTGTTCTAGTCGCTTAGTCGTGTCGAAGTAATGATGGAATCATCTCGGTAATGAGTACTGTAGGTCGAAACCCGTATAGAAATCCAAGCGGAGCTGCGGCTATAAAACTCCGCTCACGCGTTCGAACCGACCGCTGAGCCCCAGCTTGACTGTATAGCAAGCGGAGATCGAGCGGAGAGATTTCTACACGGGAATGATCAGGAAACGTTTTTACTCAAAATTTCTAGTGATGCCGCGAGACGAGAAGAGTCATTCAAGACAATGACAGAAACAAGACGAGACGAGAACGAGAGAAACGAGAGGCGAGACGAGAGTCGAGAGAACTTGGCCCTCTCTGCATTTGTTTTTCGCGCAAATTGGATTATAGAGACGAGATAAGACGAGACAAGATGAGACGAGACGAAATGAGACGAGAGAATCTCTCAATTCTCGACGAGACGAGACGAAAGAATGGTTTCCTGACAACGACCAAACGGCGTTTCTCGTCTCGTCTCCCGGCATCACTGAAAATTTCTCAAGTTTCGGAAAAGGCCTCCTAACATTCTGTCCCTACATTATAACTTTTCAAATAATAATTTAATGTTATTTCTATGTGAACATCCTTTTTTATGATGAAAAGTTCTGAATAAAGAAAGCGAGCAATACCCATGGGCTACTACCGAACTTTAACTAAACGAGATATTCCAACTGGACAATTGGTATAGAAAATGACCATCGATGTACATCGTATGTCATTATATAAAAATTGCAAACAAAACTTTTTATAATTATCTGGAAACACACGAAAACATTGAGAAAGGTTTATTTCAGTGACAGGCATATCAATCAATCTTAATTACCGTTAAATTGTGAAGTGAATTTTTAACATAAATCTTAGAATTTTAAATATTAAAGTAACCATCAATTTGTGCATTTAAATTTCGAAATATTCTATCAACCAATAATTTAGGAAGATTGACGATTAGTTGGATAATTGAAAATCAAGTACCTAAAGTTGGAATTAGCTTGTTAACTAAAAAACTACATTTCAGTATTATCAAGCATTTGATTCACCATCAATCGAAAAATTTTGCTAATAAATTCCATAATATTTTAAATTTATTAAATATAGTTAAACTTTGAACAATATAAGGAGATAATCCTTTTTAATATTGTCAAAATCGAATATTATTGCCTATCCCTGGTTTATTCAATACATGGACATGGACTAGAACCCCAGTATTTCTTGCAGTTTCCAAATGAATTACAAAAAAAGATGATTTGTTGCTAGCTCTCCAACATCCTAATATTCAAGAGATCTGTTGAATACAAGAG